GTAGTTTACTTATATATTATATAATATAAACATTATATTATATATTACTTACTATAACTAGTATTATACTAGTTAATTAGTTAATTAGCATTCTTGTTACATTTTTCATTATACTAGTTAATTAGTTCATTACCATTATTGTAACATTTTTCATTATACTAGTTAATTAGTTAATTAGCATTCTTGTTACATTTTTCATTATACTAATTAAAATACTTCACATTTTATTTAACTAGTTGTTAGTTTGTTACATTTGTCACTATACTAGTTAACTACTTAATTAGCATTGTTGTTACATTTTTTATTGTACTAGTTATTTACTTCAAAAGTTGCTATAATTTTAATTGTAGAGACACACATTAATTCTACTTTGCACAAAATTAGTTTGAAGTATTAATTAAAATAGTTTTAATTAGTTGCATTAGTTTTGTATCCATTATTATATTTGTTGTGAATTAATATTTGTTACATTTTTTAGATGGAAGGTGGTAGATATTCGGTTGATTTGGGTAACCTCCAACGCAATCGAAGAAACGAGATTGGTAGGAAGAAATCCCGCAAAGGTAAAGAACTTGCCGGGTCTTCATCTCAAAGCCGAGATGATTTTGAAACGGGTTACCAAAGGCGAGATGGAGATGCGATGTCCGAAGAACAACTCCAACAAGAATTGGCCCGACATAATAACCGCTTTCTACAACAACAACAAATGCCGACGACCATTGACGAAGAGGAGCTTGAGGATGAAGATGCGGAGGAATTGGAACCGGAGACGGCCGAGGAGGAGGGTGCCGGCAGCCACGACGCCGACGCGCCTGCCTCATCCCAAACCGCCACCGGTAATAAAAAAAGTAAGTCTGAACTAATGAAAAATAATTTTGATAAATGGAAGGACCCACAAACCGGCTATTGACACGCAACTTGCAAGTGGTGCAACAACAATTATAGTTTGGGAACCTCCGGCGGATACGGATCCGCCGCAAGGCATCTTAAGGCAAAGCACCCCGTGGAGTATGCAAAATTAGGCGGCGGAACGGGGAAGCAAACTCAAATATCGAGGTTTGCGAATTCTCAACCTTTTGGTAATTTCTCCTACAATGATGCACAAAATTTGACTGGTATGGCTAACTTAATTTGTGAAGAAAATTTGCCTTATTTGTTTTCTGAAAGTCTTGCTTTAAGAGATTATGCACAAGGTAGTTTAAATCCTCAATTTAGAAATTATAGTCGCAAACTGTTAAGAAAGAAATAATAAGGCTTTATAATGCGGAAAAGGTAAGGTTACAAAATTTTTTTGCAAACTTTGATGGGCGTGTTACTATTTGTTCTGACATATGGGAGGATGATTTTCATCATTTATATTATTTGGGTCTGACTGCACATTATATTGATGAGGATTGGAATATGCATAAACGTGTTCTTGCTTTTCGTGAATTTAATGATCGTCACACCGCTGAACATATTTATATTTTGATTGAGCGTATTTTAATTGAGTATAATTTGATTGATAAGGTGTTTGCTATTGGTTTCGATAATGCTACTAATAATACTGCTGCTATACCTAGATTGCGTGAGTTGTGTGGTGCCAATTCTTTGATGGGTAGATTTTTTCATCAACGCTGTGCATGTCATGTTATAAATTTATGTGTGCAAGACGGTTTAAAAGCGTTAGGAGATTCCATGGAGGTAATAAAGGGGGGGATTAGACGTATTTGGGGTAATGGTCAACTTAGATTAAAATGGCAAAGTTATTTGACTGAAAGAGGTGTGAGATATGTTGCTTTTCCTAAAGATTTGAGTATTCGTTGGAATAGTACTTATAAATTACTTAAAGTTGTTCTTAGATATAAAGAACATTTTCCTGCTTTTTTAAAAGAACATGATAACTATATTATAAACGCGGCTGAGATCGACACTTGCGAAAAAATTTGTAATGTTTTGATATATTTTTTTAATGCTACTGAAACTTCTAGTCATGTTTATAAACCTACCGCAAACCAATTTATTCCACAAGCTGTTAATCTCGCCGATGCTTTTAAAGAATTTCAAAATGCCGTTTTCGTTCATTATTTTTGTGATCATATGAAGGAAAAGTTTTTAAAATATTATGCGCATATTCCCCATATTTATGGTATTGCATTTATTCTCGATCCTCGTTATAGACTTGCTAATTTGGAAGATTGTTTCAACTTCTATTATCTTGCGTTTTTCGGTGAATTTCCAATGTATGACGATAACCCCATAGATCCGAAAACGGAATACAACGAGGTTAGTACTTTATTTTATGCCTTATTTAATGAATTTCGTGCACAATATAGCAACGCTCCCCCTCCCCCGTCACGAACATCTTCATCTAAAGGAAAATCGATTTTTAAATCTGCATTTGGCAATCTTATGAAAAAAACTAAAACAACTCATGTCACTGAACAAAGCGCATTGAATGAGATTACTTTGTATTTAACATATGAAGTTGATTTTGAAGAAAATGATGACTTTGACGTTCTAGACTGGTGGAAGTCAAAAGAAAGAACGTTCCCGATTTTAGCACGGATGGCTAAGCAAGTACTATCAATGCCGGTTTCAACAGTTGTTGTGGAACAAGAATTTAGTTCGGCCGGCAACGTCCTAACGGCATCTAGATCGAGATTGAGCGCGGAGTCTCTTGAGACGCTTATATGCTACCACGATTGGTTGAAGGCCGCACGTAGAACTCAAGAATTGAGCATCACCCCCTCCCAAGATTTTATGGATGACTCAACAACCGATGGTGGCTCTACCTATGCCGGAGATTCCGATTGATTAGTATTTTAGAATTTATTACAAAATGTATTATATAGCACTTGTCAAATTTATTTATACTTGTACTTCATATTTCAAAATTGTAAACTTGTACTTCATATTTCAAAATTTTAAATTTGTAGTTGTAGTTCAAATTAATTTGTAAACTTGTACTTCATATTTCAAATAAATATGTGTTCACTTTTTCATATGTAGCACTTCTCAAATTAATTAATTGGTTACAAAACTTACAATCTAATGACTTAAAATTATTTTTCTAAAATATAAAGCCGGTTTTTAAATTAAAAATACATTTAGAATATGTAATTTGTTTAAATACTTATACACCTATTTTGTAACATTTGTAAATTATAAATCAAACCACTTTTCTAAGTACAAATAGTTTTAGTTTTACTTAATTCATTAAATTAATTAATTTATTTTACAATATGTGTATAACTTAAAAAAAAAAAATTAATTCAAACCTCCCAAACGGCTATATAGCCGTTGGGGCTATGGGTGGGGGGCAGGGGGTCCCGGGGGTGGTGGTGTGGGGAGTGGGGTTCAAAAACATCTATAAATACATCTATTTTCTAACATTTTTTTACATCTCTTCTCCAATTCATCTCAAACTCTTCTCCATCTTCATCTTCTCTTATTATCCTACATTCCTACTTATACATATACCATTTTAAATATGGAAAGTACATCTTCCCTTATGCAAAACAATTTTGACAAGTGGAAGGACCCGAAGACCGGTCTGTGGTGGGCAACTTGCAGGTGGTGCAAGAAAGAGTGTTGCTTGGGGGGTTCATACGGATACGGGATGCCAATAAAACATATGAAGTCTTGTGACAAAGGGAAAACAACAACCAACGGTGGCGGAAATCCCAATTGATATTCATTACAAAATGTATTTCGTATTGTTGTTTTTTTCTCAATTCTCAAATGTAGTTCTTATTTCAAATAAATGCACTTGAACTTTGTTTTTAATAGCAATTTGTATAATATATAATTAATAAAAAAAAATATAATGGCCCGGCCCGGCCCGGCGGCTGGCCCGACCCGTGACCCGGGCGGGTGGCCCGGCCCGAACCGGAACCGGTCATTGACCGGGCCGGTCCCGGGCCTACCATTATAGGACCTGAGGCCCGACCGGGCCTTGACCCGGCCCGGGCCCGACCCGGCCCGGGTCCAACACTATCTAATAGTGCTGGACTCGGGCCGGGCGGCCCGGCCCGGAACCGGCCCGGCCCGGTTACTGTTTGGCCCGGCCCGGCCCGGGGCCCGGTGGGTCCACCGGTTCGGTTCGGCCCGGCCCGGCTTCTGGGCGGTTCGGGCCCGGGCCCAAGTTTTGGTGAACCGGCCCGGCCGGTTCGGGCCCGGTCCGGGCCGGATTTTAATTTTTTTTTTTTTTTTTTTGAAATTTTTTTAAGTTTTAGGTTGGATTAGGTATTTTGGGCCATTTGAGGTGGTTTGGGATGGTTTGGGGTTGAGGGGGAGGGGTAGGGGATTAAATAGGAGAACAAAAAAAAATTAATTGGGCCGGTTCGGCCCGGCCCGGTTTGGCCCGGAACCGGGACCGGAACCGGCCACCGGCGGTTCGGGCTCGGGCCTCCCTTTCCTGGCCCGAGGCCCGGCCGGGCCCAGGCCCGAACCGGGCCCGAACCGGCCCGAGTCCAGCACTACTATCTAAATTAAAAAAAAAAAAGTGAATAATCAATGCTAGTCTAGACTCTACAAGCGTCTGCAAATCACTTCATGTGAAGCCTAAAAATTTCATGCTTAAAATTTTAGTATTGTATACAAATTAAAATGTCAAACACGTGTACAAATTCTCTTCATGGTTACTCTAGTCGACCCAGAGGTTTGAATATCTTGAAGACTTGAACCAAAATGTACTTTAATTGACATATACATTTCGGTTTATTGGTTAAATGAAGTGAATTACAATTGCAATGACTCCAAAAAGTAAAATCACAAAAGCCGTGTATTATCACTTTTAATCATGAACTTTGATTATTTTCACTGTGATTATTTTGTTAAATCTGAGGCAATTATCTTTGAAGGTTTGAGCTGTTTTGAAATAGTTCAGCTAAAATATAAGAAAGAACAAAACTAAATCTAGGAGGGGGGATTACTCAGCAATCCTTGACAACTAGCAAGAAATATACAAGAGAGCAAGTAGAAAAAGTAAATAAAGGATAAACTAAAATGTATTCCATAAAGCCAAACATGTACTCTTACAAGAACTTCCTGTTTCAATGATGGAATAAATAGGTTCAATAAAATAATGGATGAACCCATGAACTCTTACAGTCAAAACAACAGTCTTGACATGTTAACTGCACTGAGACAATAAAACTCTACAGCTAGTCCTCATCATCTTCTAAAGCGTTGTATATTACCCTAACGCAAAGAAATAGAGAATGTTACTATAGAAGCCAAGTTTCATAAAATTAATGATTAAAAGAAAAACAAAGATAGACAATTGTGTCTGGACTTATTTATTTATCTTATGTGGTGCCACAGCCCACATTGTACTGAATGTGTATCCATTTTATTAGCCGGATGTCATGATAAAGAAAATATTATACTTTTCATCTAAGGACAGTTAGGTCATTTTTAATATTGGCCCGACTTTAAAATTTTCCACTTTTAGTGCACGACTATGAATTTTTTTGTCCGGTCTGTTCCTTCGAATCACTTACAAGCCAATTCTTCAAACAATTTCCGATTGACTTTTTGGAAGATAAAAGATCAATAAGACCGAATACATGAACCTAAGTGCAAGAAAATGAAAGTCGGTGATCAATAGTGAAAATGGCCTAATAGTGGTGGAACCGATAGTGAAATATTTTGAATAGAAAGCTAAAAGATTTAGAATAGTTAAGACACCATTTTTAAACTATCTTATTGATTCAATAGTATAAGTTGTCTCACTCACATGAATAAGGATATGAAGAGCATGATAACAAGATAAGCAAGCTTCCAAAGCCTCCGTTTCTTCTCACAATTTAGTTTGTTGAAAATCTCTGTTACATCTATCAAATGTTGTCTTCCTAGGTACCTATCAAGACAATAGAAGGTAAGACTTCAAGGTAACAAAAAATCTCGAGCAATTTTGTTTCGCATTAAATGCTTCACCGCCCAGTAGCAGAAGAAGGTAAAGACTTCAAGGTAACTGCAAATCTTAACACTGGAAACTACGAAGCAGGTAGTTTTTTGGGTTACACAAAAGCAGGTAGTTTGAGGCTTTGTTCGGTGGCTCCTTATCTGGCTCATTCTGCTCATGCACAAAGAGTAGTTTTTGAATCTTTTTGGCTAAAAAAATGGATGTTCTCAAATGCTACTTCTTTTGGAAAATTCAGCTTTATAAGCTTTTATCTCCAAACAGCTTATTTTGTTAGGTATATAACCGATTTGACAATGTAGATTGGTTCAGCTTTTGATAAATTTGAGGCATCCACAGCCAGGAAACTTACTTAACAAAAAATAACAAATTTACATTTTTACCTGCCAAACTAACATTTTAACACTTTTTCTAAAAGCTGAGGGAAGAAGAAAATCTTTGAAATAAAGAGCATCTATGTCTTTGTACATTAAAGCTCCAAGGAATAAAGTCCTTATCATAAAAGAGGATGTTACTGGTCAGGCGGTCACATCTTCATGCAGAGCAGAACTATATAAGATGCTACTGAGAAAAAGCAATTGCTCCTGAACAGATAATGAATTTTTATTCAAACTTACAGCGTCACGTTGTAGTATGAATATGGAACGCAGAGAAGTGCGGCAAACCAGTGGCCGGTGACAAGATAAAGGAAACATAAAATTCCATGTGTGATGAACTCTGGGAGGATAACTTTGTTTATCCTAGAGGCAGAGTCAAAAGGATTGATATAGTCAAATTCTAGATCGGCCAGGCACATAAGCTGAAAAGTTAATATGGCGTTAGATTGCATATAGGCATAAAACATCTAGCAAAAGAAGGTCTCCCTGTTACTATGAAAAAAAGAGCTACTTGCAACTTTTTTATTTTGGCAAGGTATAATGGTAGAATGTCATAAAATTTATTTGTAATTCTAAACTTCATTTCTTGGATTAACTAAACTTATCCCATTTAACTTGTTGTCCACCTATCCATCTTGGAAAATGACATGACAATGTACTTTGGTTTGAAGATATATGACTCTTTTTGGGACAAAGAATAGGACTCTATTTTTGGGATGGATGGAATAGTGAGAAAATTATCACACAAAAAAGCTCAAAAGAAAGGTTCTTTGAGGATGTAGATATTCAATACAGAATACAAATGCAGCTCGGCAGTAGCTTCTGTTTTGTTAGCAAAGATTTAGAATTAAATTATGTACTGTGTACCCGTTTGATGAAAGAATTGATTAGTGTGATTTAGGATTGAGGTTCTTGATTACGGATAAATTCATAACCTACCCAACAAACAGACTGATGTGTTTATTGATCAATAGTCTCTGTACTAGAATGAACTAAGTTTAATTGCTCAGAGGGCATTTACAAAACAGTACCACCGCTGGACGGAAAACACTGATATGAAAGCGAGCAATATAGAGAAACACACAAGGTGGGGGGGGGGGGGGGGGGGGTTATTAGGGTTTAGTCGAATTCACCTGGTAAATGACCATGACAACAATAGAAACGAGCATGAAGAAGAAGAGCAGCCATGCCCAAAAATCGCTCATTCTGCCACCAGCGTGGCCGGAAAAACAAGAAACGAGGATCGAGCGCCGGGAAAGCTGTCGAGTGAAGTTGGAAGCTAAGAATAGTTTGGGAGGGCATTCACAGGAAAGGTAAAGCGCACACCGCGTCCGTCTCAACCTTTCTCTTTCACTCCTTGCGGGAATGACACGTTCCCAAATCCTACCGCATTTCTATTTCTGATGATATTAAGCGGGTGTATATTCATTTTTTTTATCTTAAAATTTTATATTAAAATAGAAAACCTATACAAGATCATCTTCAGACTGATTTTATGGATCCAATAGTGAACTTTAAGGGTAGACATAGAAATAGCCACCTCATACAAAATAATCTGACTCTCTAAATCTGAAACAAACAAATTTAAGGCTAAAACGAACGGATTTGAAACTTTGTCTATCAAAAGAACTCTAAAAACCCAAACATTCAAACCAAATCTACTCAGACAAAAACAAAAACCAATACTACTAAAGAGAAAATAATATTAAAATAAAATCTTTCCACAAAACTCTTCCTGGTAAGGAGGTGGTTCCGGAGGAAGACGAGCTCTTGCAATATGGGTAAATACCAACTCCACCACCGCCGGAGCAGCCGACCAAAGCTTCACGATCCAACACCGATACAAACTCTCAGCCGCAATCCGTTTATCTGCCAACGTTATCTTCTTCGTCGTAGTTGCAATCTCAAACATTAGAACACTTGTAATCAGAATAATCTGCCACTCCAGCCCCATATTGATAACGACGGAGGAAAATCTCAACTCCTACAAAGAGGAAAGACGGCCGCTAGGTTTTCAGAGAGAAGCAAGAGCTCTCTGCGGGTGTATATTCATTTAGAAATCTCGTTGATGTATTAAATTAAGGCATTTTAAGACATTTTATTAATCCTAAAATGTGTAGGTTTATTCATATTGGTCTAGAGCCCGTTTGATCACACGAAAATTGGCTGATTTGGATGATTCTGCTGAAATTTATGAAGTTTTGACTAAAGTGACTGCATTGGCTGATTCTGCTGATTTAAGAAAAAATTATTTCTAAAATATATTTTATTAATAAAATAAAGAAAAAAATATATGTAAAAATAGCTAAAATGATCATCTATAGTAACTTCAGCCAATACAGCTAGAAAAATAAATTCAACCTTACTTTTTCTGCATATTACACAATTCAGCGCGCGAAAGCAAAAGTTACGTGTTTGGTGAAATAGTTGGCTAATAAGCCTGATAAACCAAAAAATAGTATTGTCAAACGGCCTCTAAGTCATGAATTGTGTTTTACAATTATAATAGTGTAGATACAAGGAGAAGACAAAGCGGGCGGCCTAGTGTGTCTAGGGTAAGATTGGCAGACCACAGCGCTGGTTAACTCGGCGGCGGCACTGTTCCGATTTTAGAGAGGGAGACAAAGGGAGAGTTTCTTAGAATCGGAGGTCGTTTTTGCATCCCTTGGCTCAAAAGAGATTAAAACCCCTCGACTGCCCTCGGAGGAATTTGAAAAAATTTCACTAAAGTCTTGAAATAATTACAAGATAAACTCTACCGGTCTACCTTTGAGTCACCCCAACTCTATTATCTCTAGAAAGAGTTATGCATCTCTAGCTTGTGGGTAGAGAGCCACTCAGAAGATGCTTTCAACAGGCAATCCTCAATACCCCAGAGTGATGAACAAAACATGCTGAAATGGCATGAACCACTAATTTGTTCAGGAAAAGAGTACCGTCAAATGAAATAAGGCCTATGCACTTGAACACCATGCATCACGCTGTAGACATCTTCACAAAAGCACTTGAAATGGAGCATTTTCTATTCTTGTTGCCTTGTTGGGCAAGTTGCACGTCTAAGACAACCTACACGCTCCAATTTGAGGGGAGCGTAGATGTTTTAATTTGTTTCCTCATCTATTTGGGGCTCTTTATTTTGTAGTCTTCTTTTCTATGATTCTTTCCTTCTTTTAGAGTTAGAATTATTACCTTAACAATTACTCTTAGAGATTCATTCCAAATTAGGACTCCTCCTAACCCCCACACACACACACATAGACCGCTCTTCTCATCAGGCCGGCCTGACGCGATGCTCCGTCCGGCTGAGCCCATTTGGGCACCTTCGCGATGAAATTTTTTGATGAAATGTTTTGAGCATGTTCCCCATCAAGTCTAGTTTGTCCATACCAAATTTCAGCTCAAAATTCGATCAGGAAGGCATTCAAATCATTTTATGAAGTTGACTGCGTCAAAATATACATATAAAACTGCAGTCATCTTCAAAAAATGATTTGAATGCCTTCTCGAACGAATTTTTTGAGCTGAAATTTGGTATGGACAAACTAGACTTGATGAGGAACATGCTCAAAAAATTTCATCAAAAAATTCCACCGGGAAGGTGCCCAAACGGGCTCGGCCGGACGGAGCAGCCCGTCAGGCCGGCCTGACATGAACATTCCTCTATATATATAGATATATACATAGTATATATACTACCAGTCGTGATGAATGAATAAATTATCGGTTCTGGCCATTTTCTACAGTGAATGAGTCCGATTAGAAAATTGCATAACAATTGTCCTATTTGTGATAAATTATGCTCTTGTTTTTACTACTTTACCGGATATTGTTAAGGGTGCAAATGTGCCATAGCCTCCATTCCTCGAATTTGGATGGCAGCGCGATTTCGTCGTCTCATGATAAAATATCTAGATATACGCTTTTTGGGTATGGTGTTTACCCACCTCCCTTGTCTAGGGTATATTTGGCACGATTTGTCATTATTTTGTTGAAAAGATACTTTTTTGAGTTTTTTTATATCTGTTACTACGTAACATTTAGTGATTGAAAAGATCTTAAAAAGAAAAGGTAATAGATTTTTGATAAAAAGCTGATGATTGTTTGATTTAGTTTTGTTTGGTATACAAGCTGTTTGATTAATTAATGCTAAAAGTCACAGACTTTTCTCAGATGCTACTCCTTGTAACATCTCAAAAAAGATTTTTATTTTTTAAAAAGCTCTTAAATATTGTCATGCCAAACGTACAACTAGAAACTTTTAAAGACTTTTAAAATAGTAGAAGAGCTAGAAGGCAGAGACTTTTTTCTACCATCCTAATCTAATTATGTTAAAGTAGTCGTAATCTAATTATACTAAAGTACATTGATTCTACCCACGAAAACAATAACGATATACTAGCTAGCAGCCTCTATTACTGTTTCATTTGTTATCCCAGATATACTCGCATCAATGGAGCTGATCGAGGTCCAGCTAGCTGAACCGGCTAATATCATTTCTTACATAAAAAGAAATTTCTAGACTCCAAGTTTTTCAACTTTTCTTCCTCTGGTAATCCTGCAACCAACACCACAAATATAGTATGTACATGATCATTTTAATTTAATTTGTATATATGATCATGCTGACTATATATTAAAATCCGCGGAAATAATTACATTGAACAAGATGGCAATGTTAGTGCACTTTGAGTCCTATTTGCCAAGTCCACGAATCTATGTAAAATTGTTAAAGTGGTTGAAATTATTCAAATTGTGCTTAAAATTGTGCCTCCGTTCCGTTGGAACTTGGAAGGTTCTCGTACGTAAAGGGCTCGATTTTTCAGACAAATGATTAAATAAAGTAATTTTCGTATTAAAAAATTTAGAAAAAGTAAACATATAAAGTGAGTAATTAATGGGAGATAAGTTTGGGGATGAGAAATTGTGAGACTTGACATGTAATGAGTAGGAAAGAGAAATTTGAGTAAACGTGTAATTAAAAAGAGTAAAACATTGCCTAAAATGGAATGAGAATCTTTAAATGAGACATCCAGATAAGAAAAATGAGAATCTTTCAACGAGACAAATGGAGTATTTACATACCGTCAATACACTTTCTTCTATCATCAAGCAATGTATGTACTATTTTAACCGAGCTTACAAGCTTAACATGCAATAATCGGACTATAATTAATTTGGAAGCCCCGATCCCAGATGTAAATTCAAGGCCCCGCATTCATAAACAAATAAAAAAACTCAATATAAATATTTATACTCAAATAAATTGAATTGAATACTCATCAATAATGTATTAAAAAAATTCTAAAGATACTTAATACTTGATTTAAAGCAACACAACTCATTACTCAAGTAATTTGAGTAATAGAGGACTAAAAGGACTGACGAAAAAAATGATGCATCTGTATTTTTCTTCTTTACTAATTGGTCAGTATTAATATATTATATCATAGTATCATACTAATTAATAAATTTTTGAAAAATTGAGGCCACATAAATCGATGGTCGTGTTTCACACATCACTGCCGCACCCCTTCAACAGTTGCATCGCACCACCACACCCCGCCCACAGAAACCCCAGTCGCATAATTATGTGCATTTTATCGGGTGAAATGCATAAATGGTACCTTAATTATTGGTGTTGCTGCATTTTGGTACTTTAACTCTTAAATGAATCAAAATAGTAGTTTAACTATACATAAATGTTTCAACTTGCAATATTATTCAAATTTCCGACAAAAAAAAAAAAATCATTCAGAGGGGCTAAGCCATAAAGCCATGGCACTGGGCCGGTACAAAAAAAATGGAATTTTTTTACACAAAATATTTTACATTAAAAATACATGTATTTTTTAAATTTGGGGTGGGCCAGAGTCTCGGCTCGCCACCCTCTAGCTACACCCCTGATCATACGTGGCGTCCGAAAATCTATGCGAAAGTCCACTTCACCTAATTTTTGTCCATGTGATTACTATAGGGTACGGTGACTCTACACATGGAATTTTGGTCGCATATAGAATGTTTTGGCCTTGAATTTAAATAAAACTTCAAGTTGAAACATTTATGTATAGTTATGGTACTGATTTGATTTATTTAATAGTTAAGTTACCAAAACACAACAATACCGTTAGTTAAGGTATCATTTTATCAATTCATAACTTGAAAAATAGATGTGAGTTAGTTTTTATCCTAGGATTTGAAAGATGAAAATGAACGATATAAAATATCAATTCAAAACCTAAAATATTATGAGTTTTGTTATTTAAGGAGACCTGAAGGCTAAAGAGCTCTATGCTCTACTTTTTGATATATACCAAAATAAACTTGTCTTTTTTAGTTTAATAAAAAAAATTATCAATTTGACATATTACCATTGATCGAGTAATACTACTAATTAAGGTCTTAA